GCAGTTCTGCTCCTTGGCAGGATGGTGTCCGCCAAGGATGCAGCAGTTCTCCAATCAGGAGCCCTTATTCTTTGCTATACTGCAGACATGCCTCACTCTTGTTTGCAGCTTCTCAGTCCTGTGATCTCTTGGCCTCCGCCCTGCTAGGGCAGGTGTTAAAAAAACTCTTGTACTGTGAATGCCCAGAGAGCACATTCTTCAAGCCAATCTCCTGTCTGTAGGCACTCAGCTTTACTCATTTCATAGGCCTAGAGCCCACTCTTCAAGCCAATCTCCTGTCTGTAGGCACTCAGCTTTACTCATTTCATAGGCCTAGAGCCCACGGCTGTGGTGCATTCTTCAAGCCAATCTCCTGCTTGTAGGCACTCAGCTTTACTCAGTTCATAGGCCTAGAGCCCACAGCTGTGGTGTCTCTCCATGCCACTTGCTGTCACCCCTTTTCTAGTTGGGGATCTCCTGCTGCACTCATGCTTTTCTTGATGGTCCTGGGATCTTCCTACTCTGGTTCTGAGATGGCTCTTTTTACACCTAGCTGGAGGACAAAACTAACCAATCCCAGCTTGTTGTTGTTGTTGTTAAGTGCCATCGAGTTGATTCCTGTGTAACTTATTTGCGTGGTCTTAGTGTGGCTCTGTGGGTTAATGCGCTGGACTGCAAAGTTGCTTTTTGGACTACAAGGTCAGCAGTTAAAGATGACCACCTCGGAAACCATTTATTTACAGGGTCGCTATGGGTTGGATTCTACTTGACACCATTTAACAACAACATAATCACTTGGTGGGAATTAAGATGTTGGATAGAAGGGCCATATCAGGTAAATTTAAGGTACTATATAAACATGGATCACAAAGTTGTAAGAACAGAACATGGGGATACTGAATGGTTTAAAATTAAGAAAAGTGTGTGTCATGTTGTATCCTTTTACCAAACTTATTTGGTATTAATGCTGAGCCAAATCTAAGACACTGAATTATATGAAGAAGTGCTCACAACAGGACTAGTAACATCATGAAAAACAGAAAGAGATTGAAGTTGTCAAAGACTTCATATTGCTCGAATCTACAGTCAATATTCGTGAAAGTAGTAGTCAAGAAATCAAACTATGTTTTACATTTGGCAACTATTCTGCCAAAAAACCCTCTTTGAAGTGTTAATGAGCAAAAATTTCATTTTGAAGACCAAAGTGGGCCTGACCAAACTTACAGTATTTTCAGTCACCTCATATACATGTGAAAGTTGGACAGTGAATAAAAATTCCCTTAAACCTTTCCCATCCAACTACATCCCACTGTACTTTTTAGTAAACTAATCCCTAAATATAGTATTTAGGAGTGGAGTTGCTCAGTTACGTAGTATATGCACTTTTAACTTTCTAAGAAAGTGCTAAACAGTTTTCCAAAATAGTAGGTTGTTTTACATTTATATTTGCTGTGTGAAACTTCTGGCTGTTGTCATTGCCAACACTGAGTATTGTCTATTTTATTTTGTAAATTTTAGACTGTTAGTGGGTATGGAGTAACAAGTGGAGTCCTGTTGTGGCATTGTAGGGTAAGCATTAGACTGCTAATTGTAAGGCTGGTGGTTCAGCCTACCAGCCACTCCTTGGAAGCCCTATACAGGGTTGCTGTGAGTCAGAATTCACTCGATGGCACTTAAGAACACCACTGCAAGTCAGTATAGTTTTAATTTGACTTCCTCTGCATGTTTCTTTTGGTAAAGAATGTTCTTGAGGTTTAGTTTAGTTTTTGTAGGATTGTAAGCACTGGACTACTTCTCACAAGGTTGGTGCTTCAAACCCACCATCCTATCCTTGGTGGTGGTGGTGGTGGTGGTGGTGCTGGCTGTGGCAGCTATGTGCTATGGAGTCGGTTCCGGCTCATAGCAACCCTGTACAGGGTTTCCGAGGCTGTAAATCTCTACGGGAGCAGAAAGCCTCATCTTTCTCCCGCTGAACAGCTGGTAGTTTCGAACTGCTGACCTTGCGGTTCACAGCCCAATTCGTAACTACTACGCTACCAGTTGTTATGAATTAGAACCAACTTGATGGCACGTAACATATACTAATCAAAATTAATCTCTTGTATTAAAAAAAAATTGTTTATTTGTTTCTTTAGGTTTCTTTAAAAGTGATTGAAGAGAAAAACTCAAAATGCCGGAAAATCCTGCCCCAAATATAATAGGTATATAATTTTATCACTGAAGTAATTAATTAATGACCCAAGAATGGAGTATAAGATGGATCTTAACTTTTGCTCTGATTATTCCTCCTCAACCAAGATAATCTGCAGGTCCTGCAGGTTCTTGATCGCCTGAGAATGAAATTGCAGGAGAAGGGTGACTCATCACAGAATGAGAAGCTGTCTACTTTTTATGAGACTCTAAGGAGTCCTCTCTTCAACCAGATACTCACGCTTCAGCAGTCCATCAAGCAACTCAAGGAACAAGTAAGTTTGTTTGTTTATTTATTTAATGCTTTATTGTGAATTATGTGATAGTTTACATGGGAGAACATTAGTTTTACATTCATCCTGTTGTATATGATTTCATTGCTATGATTACAATCCCCTCTATGCATCATCATCCAACCAAAGAGTATACCCTACAGCACACAGACCCTCTCCCTCTCTGGGTCTAAAGTCTCCAGCTGCTCCATCTCTCCACATCATTGTCTCTGCCTTCATCTCAGGCATCACTGTTTTTCTGGTTAGAAGGAACAAGTAAATTTTGCCCCTCATAGTTTTACACATTGGTTTAGTTCAGGAAAGATAGAATGGGATAGAGACAGAGGCAGATTGTCTTGAAGTGCTCTTAGTTCAGCAAAGTGACTGGATTGAGAGACTTGTGACCTGCTGATAGTACTGGTATAGCCACACTAAAGATGGTGAAACTAACACAGCATTTCATGGTTGGCTTTGGAATATGGCTTTTGCATTTATTTAAATATGGGGAGGTAGATGCTTTGAAGGCTCTCGTCATTTCCTTAAAATTTGTAATTAGCTTAAATGTGTTTTCTTTATGAAGTCATGAAGAAATGCTCTTACTCTTGTAGCACTTTCCTTGTCCTTCTCTTAATAACTAGCACATATTTATTGCTTCACATCATGAGTATTCTTGATGATAAGCATTTTATCTGGTGCTTTCATATTTCTCAGTGTTTTCTACAGCCTATAAAGCATAGTACCTGCATTTTTGCAGGTCCTTAAAACATTGTTGTTGAAATAAAGGACGCATGGCATTTGTACTTGGAAATCATTTGCTTAACTGTTCTCTTGGGTTTTATATTTTTGTGTCAAGAATGGCATATTGATTCTAAAATACTCTATTAAGAAACTGAGCATAAATTCTAGCTGTTACATAGATTAAATTTGGGCAGAATTTTCAATATAATTACACTTAAATGTAAATGTAATTTAAAATTTGGGATGAAGATAATATAGCAGAATTGTTGATATGTGGACACAAAATTTAGAAAACAATGTTCTTTTGCTGATAAAGTCAAAATTCCTGTCCCATAAATATTTATTGGGACTCCTGGTATGATGTTGTGGGATAATACGCTGGACTTAAAAGTTGGTTTGAACCGCAAGGTTGGCAGTTCAAGCTCACCATCTGCTCCTTGGAAATCCTGTACAGGATCACTATGGGTCAGAACTGACGAGATGGCACTTAATGATAAATATTTATTGAGTAATTTATTCATAACTAATTTAAGATTAAATACTACACACTTATCTTTCTGTAAATTTCTTTTTTTAGATTGGAATTTCATATCATAATTTTCTAGTGACTCCCATATTGCAACAGTGAATGCTGTTGGTATCAATAGAAATTGGGAAAGATCAGTATAACTCTGTCACTATTATTAGAATAACTCCTCCTACATCTTTATGATAATAAACATATTATCAGTTTTCAGTTATATATATATATATAGCCATAATTCATCTCTGTAAAATCCTTGTAACCATGGGGTGTTATTTTTATGTTTTTGAACTTTTTTTGTGATTTGAAAAGTTTAAAAAGCAAGTCAGTTTCTCATTCAACATTTCATACACTTTTTTTTTTCATGACATTAGTTGTAAAACCACTCAATGCTTTTTTCCCCTATTAAGTTGTATTGACATTTGTTCTTTTTGTTCCCTATTCTCAGCTGTATATTGACAGTTATCAGCGAAATGATATTTTTAAAATTACCTTTTTTTTTTTTTTTTTTTAGTGTTCCACATAATTACATGATTTTCCCTTTCTGCTAATTTTTCTGCCACTCATCTTGGGCAAGTTACTTTTTTTTTTTTTTTTTTTAGTGTTCCACATAATTACATGATTTTCCCTTTCTGCTAATTTTTCTGCCACTCATCTTGGGCAAGTTACCCTATGTGCCTCAGTTTTCATATCCACAAAATAGAATAATAGTATTTTATGGGTCTTGAGTAGGGATTAAATGTTAGAACCATGTCTGACTGATAACAAGTACTCAGTAAATACTGTTATTATTGTTATTATTTCATACTACCTCCAGATGTTTTGTGACTCGCCATTTGGGAAAAAAAAAAACAGATAAAATCAGATCCATGTTTATATTTAGGAATGCTATTTATTTATGAAGTGTATTGGAATCTTGGTGTGGCACTGTGGGTTAGTGCACCAGACTGCAAAGCCGTTTGAACTGCAAGGTTGGCGGTTTAAGCTCACCAGCCACGCCTCGGAAACCCTATCCAGGGTTGCTATGGGTCGGAACTGACTGGATAGCACTTAACAACAACAACAACATTGAGGTACTAGAGAAGAGAGAGTATTAATTTGGGTAGGCATTTTTGTTGTGTGCAATTAAGTTGATTCTAAGTCATAGCAACCCTCTATGACAGGGTAGCATTGACTCATAGGGCTTCCTTGGCTATAATCTTGACAAGAGCAGATCTCCAGGTCTTTTCTCCTGCATAGCTACTGGTGGGTTTTAACTGCTGACATTTCAGTTATCAGCTGAGTGCTCAGCCATTTCACCACCAGTGCTACTTGGGACGGTAATAGAAGACAGGAAACAGGAACAAATTGTAAGTTACCAAGCATATTGTATTAGCTCTCAGGTAGGCATAATAGGATTTTCTTATAGGCTTCTGTTGACAGTTTTCTTTTTCTTCTCTCCAACAGCTCACTTATATGCCCTCAGGTTGTTCAACCAACTTTGAGTTTTCCCGGAAAGGGTTTTTGGTATTTACAGATGGTTCCACTACTAATGGAAATGCCCACCAGCCATCCAGTAACTTGGCTACATCTGGATTATTTCCCTGGGCCCCTACGTCAGGAAATGAAGAGTTCAACTCAGTTATTCAACAAATGGCTCAGGTAAAGTTATATCTTACCATAGGAATATTTAACTTCATTTCTCCTGTTTAAGTTAAATGACCAACTTTTTTTTTTGCCTTATTATGTGTCACTATGTGTTTTGATTTTGTTAAGAAGAATTGATGCCATTTTTTTAAGGAAATTTATTGGCTTAATTTTACGTAAGAAAAGTATCCATGTTACGGTGAGGCGAGTTTTTTGATAATGATTACAATTTGACATATCTCTACACCTGTAAGGGAAGAGAATTTTTTTAAAACGTGTATTTTGAATGAGTGAAGGTTTACAGAGCATTTCCTCAGTTTCCCATTCAAGGATCATATGCTTCATTTCATTGATTATCATTCCTTCAGTAATATCACTTCCTCTCTTTGTTTCTTCTTTCCATTCTTCCTCTCCTAACTCATCTGAACTTTGTCCTCAGGCAAAAATGCTGCCCTTTGGTCCTGGCCTCCCCCCAACCCCCACGTTTAATCTTGAATGGCCGACCATTCTATTGTGTGCATGCCTCACTGGTGTTATTACCCCTCCTATATTGGCGCTGTGGGTTAATGCACCAGATTGCAAAGCCTTTTGAATTGCAAAGTTGGTGGTTCAAGCTAAGTAGTTGCTCCTCGGAAACCCTATACAGGGTCGCTATGGGTCGGAACCGACTTTACGGCACTTAACAACAACAACAAAATATACCTATGTATTATTTGGCTGCAAATAGAGCCACAGATGTGAGCTTGTTGTTGTTAAGTGCCGTCGAGTCAGTTCCGACCCATAGCGACCCTGTATAGGGTTTCCGAGGGTGTAAATCTTTACGGGAGTAGAAAGCCTCATCTTTCTCGCGCGGAGCGGCTGGTAGTTTCGAACCGCTGACCTTAAGGTTCGCAGCCCGATTCGTAACCACTACGCTACCAGAGCTCCTTAGATGTGAGCTTAGTTCCAGACTTTAAGATAGGCTAAGGGCCATAGCATTGGGGTTCCACCAGTCTCTTGTCTCTATCTGACTAATAAGCCTGGTGTTTTTTTTTATGATTTTCAGTTTTGTTCCACATTTTCTCCTGCTCTATCTATCCAGGAGCTTATAATGTGATCCTTTTCAGAGAAGTTGGTAGTGGTAACTGGGCACCCTCTAGCTCTTACGATCTCAGGGTCTTGGAGACTGATGTTCCTATGGTCCATTTGTTCATTAGATGAATTGCTTCTAATCACTCTTCAAGAAAAGAAATACTTATTGGTTTTGATCACTGGAAGAAAACTATTTGATTTCTCTACCAGAAGTGATAAAACTATTGAAACTGAATTCACATAGGATACATATGATTATAGGTTTTGTTTGTTACAGTTGAGGATCAGGAACATACAGGTTACAGTTCTTTGATCTGTACAGCCTCTTCTCAGCTATGGCCACAATCACATCTAGGCGCCATAACTCATTGGCTTGTGCCTTGCTGGAGCAAATGTTACAAGCTCTTTTAGCACTGCTGATAATTGCCCACTCCTGACTGTAAGCCTCAGCCCCAAGACACTCAGTTTTCTATCTTTGTAGGTTGACAAACCTAGCTCCCTAACAAATGCCCAAAGACACTTTACTCTGTCAGCATGCCTCCTGCTGGAAAGCCCTCAGCTGTCTCGCTCCATGGGCTCCAGTCTACTGATTCTGCTGCTTTTGCTGCTGTCACTGCTTCTTGCCCCGTTTCACTGTGTACCACGTCACAGCTCTCTGGCTCCTGGATTGAAGAGGTGCCATGCTGGGGTCTTGGGTCCTACTCTACTCCTGGCTTTTCTTTTTCAATGGTTAGGAGATGTATATTTTCTGTCTCTTCAGTGTTGCATTTCTAGTCTAGTGACATGGCAAAATTGACCCATTCCCTTACTTGCATGGTCCCACACCACAAGGGTGCTGTGCCTTATTTACATTGTTAGCAAGTTATCCAGTCTCCTTGGTGTGTCATTGGCACCTCACTTTTGTATAGTCCTCCTCAGTCATTTGATCAGAACTTAAAGACTATGATTAAGCAATTTGCCATACTGCCCTTGGTATTTATCTCATAATGTGAATGAAGTGTTAAAATGCCTTTGATTCTGAGATTGCAAAGCATTGCACAGCGCCTCTTTGGCCTGCTGAGAATAAGGAAGAGGTTTCCAGAAATAGTTTATTACTGAAATGCTGAGTGTTTTTGGTTTTATAGAGATGACGTAGGAGAAGTTGTTTTTATGCTAAGCAGTTTATCTCTATGGAGAGGGTATGTTGGCTAAATGTACTGTGTTGACTTTTCTCTAAACCTCCTACATTAGGGTCGACAAGTTGAATTCATAGAAATAGAACGACCTTCAACAGGAGGCCTTGGATTCAGTGTGGTGGCCCTTCGAAGTCAAAATCTGAGAGAAGTTGATATCTTCGTAAAGGAAGTACAGCCAGGGAGTGTAGCCGACAGGTGAGAAAGATGTTCATCTTGCTCTTTGCTATTTTGTGTGTGTGACGATTCTGAAAGAATTATAATGAGGACAAGGTCATAGTAGTAAAAACAGTAGTAATCACAACTAACACTGACTTAAACTCTTGGTATGCGTTTGTCAGACCTGCATTTTTGCACACAGTTGTGACAGCAGTCTGGCTTTATAGTAGTCCGTCTACAATCACACAGCTGATGATGCTGGAACCATGTGATTCCAAGACTGACTGTTGCTCTTTCCACTCCATCACACTCAATATGAGCATGATATTTGGACTGGGGTCTGATCAGTAGAATAGGAATACTAATATGCTCATTCTGTATCATATCTGAGTTAGTAAATTTAAGATAATAATATTTTTGGTGATCATATTACACTTTGATCTACTAGGCAGTTAAAAGGCCCCTTAAACATATGTCATCCCCATCTTCTGCATGTGCCTTGGTTTTACTTTTTTAAGTGTATAATATAAGCAAACTTCGTGTTTTGTGCCTGTTTGATTTCAGGTCTTTGCTTTATAAATTACTTAATAAACACTCTATTCAGCGTATTATTATTATTGTATGTTAGAATGATAGCAACAGTGGCGGCATTATTGTTATGTGGTTTTGAGTTAGTTCCGACTCACAGTAACCCTGTATAGAGTTTCCAAAGAGCAGCTGGTGAGTTTGCAGTTCAAAATGACCTTGTGGTCCAGTGCTTATCCTATAGCACCACAGCATACTGTAGGCAGCATAACAATTCTCAGTTGATAATTCTGTATTTCTATATTCCTGTTTTCTAATCAGTAATCTCCCACATAAACAAAATTCAGAAATAATGAGTTGCCATTTTTTGCATCTGGATTTTGCCATCCAATGCAGTTTTTCCTCAAGCAGGTTTTGGGGAACCATTGTTGTTAAGTGCTGTCGAGTCAATTCTGACCCATAGCAACCCTGTATAGGGTTTCTGAGGAGAACCTGGTGAGCTTGAACCACCGACCTTGCAGTTCAAACGACTTTGCAGTCTGGCGCATTAACCCACAGCGCCACACCAGGACTCCTTGGGGAACCATAGCAGTGGTCATATTTCAGAGACTGTCCTGGTGTTGGAGTCCTGGTGTGGTGCTGTGGGGTAAGCACTTGAGTGCTAACCATGATATTGGTGGTTCAGACTCACCAGCTGCTCCTTAGAAACCCTGTACTGGATCGCTATGAGTTGGAACTGACTTGACAGCACTTAACAACAACAATCCTGTTGTTGGAAATTGAGTATGCGTAGTTAAGATGACTGTATACTTTATTGTCCAAATTGTGACAGTTTTGGGATTGCAAGGGGCACTGTTGGTATAACACAAGGACGTCCCTACGTCATGTCCAAGGGTCTGTGTGGTCTAGACTGGAGACATGATGGGTGGTTCCATAGGTAAGCACTGGACTGGGAACCACAAAGTCTGCAGTTCGAGGCTGCCAGCTACTCTGAAGCAGAATAATTAGGCTTTCTGCTTCCACAAACATTAACTGCCTCGGAAGCCCTATACAGGGTCATTATGAGACGGAACTAACCCAATGACACTTAACAACAATAACACATGGTCTCAGTTAGTTCTTACTTTCCTCTGAGGACTTTCTACATAGAACTATTTTATTTTTCATGTTTAGGACATGTTGATTCTTGAAGTCATAAAAATACATTAGTTCATGGAGAAACTCAAACTGGCCTATACTTGAAAACATATGAATTCAGTACTATGTTATTAATTGAGGAGTTTTTGTAACATGAGGAAGTTAAATTGTAAATAATAGTAATAAAGAAAATTCTATTCAGTTTCCAAAAGCATCAAAAAATCTTATTTTCCACAAGACTTCTCTTCTGCAGTTTATTAATCTTGGATTAAATTTATATTCCCTGAACAGATACTGACTGGAAAGAAAGGAATTGTCATAGAAACCGATCAGGTAGAAGGGAATGGCATACGAAAATAGATTGATTTCCAGAAAGTAAAACATTTTTGCTTGAGTAATTTGAGGACTGACTCTTAGGTAAAATGATTTACATTAGGGCTGAAAAGATTCAGAGGAACTCATTCATTTGAGGTGATTTAAGACACATCACTGAATAAACAAGGTGTGAATAGAATTTTAGGTGAAGAAGTTAGTGAGAGGATGATGTTAAAGATGAGTTATCCTTCAGTGTTTACATTTAAAAACAAGTATATCTTTATTGTTAAATGCATTTTAGCCGGTTCTGATTCATAGCAACACTGTATAGGGTTTCTGAGACTGTACTTCTTTTCAGGAGCAGAAAGCTTCATTTTTCTTCTGAAGTAAATTTTTGTTGTTTTTTTGTTAAGTGCCATCGAATTGATTTTCAGGAGCAGTTGGTGAGCTTGAACCACTGACCTTGCAGTTCAAACAACTTTACAGTCTGACGCATTAGCCCATAGCACCACACCAGGTTTAGGAATGGGTAAAAATTCACAAGAGTATTCCTCAGAGAAAATATGTAAAGTTAGGAAATCATTATAAAAAGAATACATGGCATATTATTGGAAATTATAAAATATAGAAATGCAGTAAACATTTTTGGACTTTAACCAATATGAGACAACTAGGAAATCACCAGAATACTTCCTTTTAATAAAGAAAGATGATAGAATATATACAATTATATAACTTATTATTGTCACTTAATAAATAGCATAACGTTGTTAAGTGCCACGGAGTCAATTCCAGCTTATAGTGACCCTGTATAGGGTTTCCAAGGAGCAGTTGGTGGATTTGAATAGCAGATTTTTTTTTTAATGTTTTATTATGAATTATGTGATAGTTTACAAGGGAGAACATTAGCTTTACATTCAGCTTTTCATATATCGTATCATTGCCATGGCTATAATCCCCTCCATGCATCATCAGCCAACCAAAGGGTATATCCTGCAAGCTTGTCCCTTGGTCATCAGCAAACAGCCCCTCTCCCTCTCTAGGTCTAGAGTTCCCAGCCACTCCATCTCTCCACGTCATCATCTCTGCCTCCATCTCTGACGTCACTGTTTCTCTGGGTAGGGTCCCACTCTCTGCTCTTCTTTCTCGATGGTCCCAGAGACCTTTATGACAAGTTCTTGAAATAGCATTTTTAATACTATAAAACCTATTGTGACAGCCGGAGTCCAGTGTGGTGCTGTGGGTTAATGTGCTAGACTACAAAGTCAGTTTGAATTGCAAAGTTGGCAGTTCAAGCTCACCAGCTGCTCCTCAGAAACCCTATACAGGGTTGCTATGGGTTGAAACTGACTCGACGGTGCTTAACAGCAACAACAACATTGTGCCAGCCACCCACAGTTTAGGTATCAAAATTGAAGTATTCAACTCGCTAATAATTCCTAGGGAGAATTTAAAATGTGTAAGTCTTTGTCTTCAGAAAAGTTAAAATTTAATATAGAAACTGTAGTTAGGTCTATGGATAGTGTATTTAGTGTATATTGTTCCTGACTATGGTATGCAGTATTACTGAGTATACTTAACTACAACAACAACATATTGTTTATTCAGTAACTCTTAGATGGATTGTTCGTAATCAATTTATAGAATAGAAACTCAGCTAGATCATGAAGGGTGGATTGATTTTGGATAGACATAGTGGAAAGGCATTTGAAATGGATGAAACAATTTATAGAAGAGCAGAAATGCCTGTAGTGTTTGAGAGGGAAAAAGTAAATCAGAGCATTTGTAGAAATGGGTCTGTAGGGAAGAAATAAGAGATAGCATCTGTCAAGCAGTTAACTTAGCACATAGTACTTGACTCATAGTAGATGCTCAGTGAATATTAACTATAGCAGTGCTTTTAGAAATAGCCCTTTTTATCTAGGCAAATAATAGTTGGGGGCATTAGTGCTTGGGAGAGTGTTAACTGTTCAGAGATTGATTTTGAAGTTATCTCATCTGATTTTTAAGGAGAATTTGACTTCTATTGACATGTTGGACAAATTAAGGACAATGTGGTCTGGGTGAAGAGAGGAAGTTATTTGCAAATTTAAGAATATAGTTTCCCCAGTGTGGTATGGCTGGAAGTCAAATAGGAGTTTAGCAATGAGGGTTGCATCCACACCTTCAAAGCGTTGGCAGTGATGCCATATAAATGGTTTTTATTTATCTCTCTACCCAAATGACTTTAAAATGTGTGCATGTGTGTGTGTATATGCATGTGTGCCCACTTGTGTGTCTTGTATTGTATTAGGGATACATTATCTAATTGGTTATATAGTTACTAAGTACTTTGATGAAAAGCATTCCAAAGAGCTCTGTTGTAGTATATAACTAATTATTCGAATAAATGTACTAAGTGAAGTTGTACTATGAGCAGTAATCTTGAGCAATAGATTCTGTCACTTAAAAAAAATTATTTTCTTATTTTACCAAGGGATCAAAGGTTAAAGGAAAATGACCAAATATTGGCCATTAATCACACACCACTGGATCAGAACATTTCCCATCAGCAAGCAATTGCATTATTGCAACAAACTACTGGATCTTTGTGCTTGGTCGTGGCCAGGGACCCAGTTCATGCAAAAAGCAATACTTCTACCAGACTAAATGATACAACTCTATCTGAAACAGTAAGTTGCAAATTTGGAAAAATGTGAATTTTCAAAATATGCTGTTGATTTTTATGAAGGGTGAAGACAGTTATGTGAGCTTAAAGAAAGGTAATCGTATCTTCTAATGCTGCATTAATATATTAAAACAAAATTTGTTTTTTTGTGAGTGTGTATTTTGTGTTTGTCTTTGCAAGACTCTCTAGATCTCCTTATTTAACATTATTATTTAATATAATGGGCAAATTTAAGTATTAATAGAATTTATTTGGTGATAGAGTTTTGTGTTCTTTAGTGACGAAACCAGTGAATTAATCAAGCTGAGAGTTTTTGTTAGAGATTTACTATTGTATATCTTAAGTAAGACTTGGTTATTTATTTTAGAAATTTTGCTCCTGTAAAGTAATGTAAGATTTGTGACTAAAGCATGGATAATGCAAGATTGTTGGAGTTTTTTTCATGGAAGGATCTATACTGAACAATTTAAAAAGCAGAACAAAAGAATGTCTCTTTGGAAAATCCTTAAACTTATTCCATAACATTTTTTTTTTTTAATTAAATGTTTTTATTTTGCATTGAGTGAAAGTTTACAGGGCACATCATCAGCTTCACATTCAACCATTCATATAGCTTGTTTCATTACATTGATTATTATCCCCTCCATATATCATCAGTTTACAGTGTTTCTCTCTATCCTCTTTAGCTTTTTTTGTTTTTTTGAATGGGGGGGGGGGGTGCTTGCCTTTTTGGAATTTACAGTCTCGGCTTTTAGAAAGGTTTTTACATTTGTCTGTGGATATCCAGGACTCATGTATGAGATTACTAACAAGCATTACTGAATAATCAGATGAGGGATAGTTGGCTATGTCTACTAGGTAGCTAGAGTCTGATCCTCAGAGCCTATGGTTTGGACGGTCAACAACGCTTGGGCCCACAGGGACTTGGCCTCCTGACCGGGTCTGCACTGTCTGCATCTGAATCCTCCTTATTTATTGATTATTTAGGGTACGCTGCCTGTCTTAGGTGGTCAGTGCGAATTCCTCAGTCTTACCAGTCATTGAGACTCATTGCAGCATGGCAATGGCTCTGTCTTAAGTAGCCAAGGTTCCACGTGATCCTTACCCGTCTCTGGCCACATGCCCAGCATAACAGCCGCCATCCGAGGAAGGCAGGGAGGGAGGAGATCGGCTGGGGACCCCATGCGCCAGACTTTGCTGGCCCACCACCTGCTCTAAGGTGACCAAGCAGGATCACTATGCTGAGGTTCAATCAAGTTCTTAGGGGATCTTACTCTCTAGCAGGGGTAGCAAATTAGTAGCCACTCAGTGTTCACTTTGAGAATTACTTATATCATAAATTTGAGCATGTAGCTGATGAATATCCACAGACAAGTGTATATTGTTCCACAACCTCCTAAAATGCTGTTGGATTAAGTTCCAATCAATTTCTGGGTTACTGAAAGATAACACAAATCTATTTATACTTTGAGTAACCTTAGCTGGGAGTGTAGTCTGGATATATTGGGTCTTATTTCCCTTAAGCGGTCTTCCTTTCTCTAAAGCATTTAGTCTATTTTGTGAGCCTTTGTCTATTTACTCTTGGATCATATGAGCGAGACTAATGTCCCTAGACATTTGATTTACATGATGGGCAGGGCCAAAAAAGGTAACAATTCCTATTTGCGCAGTGATTCTTGACCTGAGAGCAAAGGCACATGGCACGTTTAAGGGCCAGGCACCGCAATGCTTTGCCTAGCTTCTGAAAATTTTAACAGGGGATAAAACCTATGATGGTTGATGGACGATTGCAAAATCAGTAACATCTATTAACTCCCCATTCCCCATACCCGACAAGCAAAGCAGCAGAATGTCTCTGGGGTTTATCCAGTTCCCTAAGGGTTAAACAGTTCTTAAAGTCTTTTCTGCTGTGGCTGGCTCGTTAGTGCTCTTGCCGGGGGGATTCCATAACATTTTGCAGATTTTGACCTGACTTGCATCTTCAGAATGCAAGCTAATAAATCTTTTTCTTTTTATAACACTAAGTGCTAGTTGATTTATTTAATTTTTATTCATTGGGACAAAAGAAAAAAATAAGACTGGGAACAGTACAAGGTCACAACACAAATTAACATATAGCTATTTTCCCTGTTGTAATCAGTAATATTTATATAGCACAATTTACATAATAAATAGCAAGAACAGGGTGGAGAATTGCTTAGTGTAGTAGTTAAGAACAAGGACTTTGGAATCAGACTTTGGTGGATTCGAGTCTACTTCTTTCATTTCTTAACTGTGCCTCATTGGACAGGTTTCTTCCCTGCTGCATGCCTCAAGTTTATCATCTGTTACTTTGGATAAGTAATGGTGTCTACTTTACAGCTGTGGTGAGGATGCAATGAGAATGCATGTGAAGACCTAAGCACAGTGCCAAGTCAGAGTAAGCACACTGAATATTAGCTGCTATCATTAAAAAGCAGAGCTGCAATACTTTCTAGATTTGATGAATCTGGGAGTCCCGATTTGGCATTGTAGGATAATCACTGGATCATAAAGTCGATTTGAACTGCAAGGTGGCGGTTCAAACCTACCAGCTGCTTCTCAGAAATCTTATATAGAGTCACTATGAATTGGAACTGACTCAATGGCATTTAACAACAACAACATCATTAATTCAGATTTTTAAATTTTTTTCAAACATCATTTCCCTGGTGTCCTAGACATAAATTTATTAAGTTTTACTGGTGTTTCTGGTAATTTTAATATTGCATAGTAACTTTTTGATTTAGTATAATTGAAACTGTTCAGAAAGTAAAGAAATTAATGTACCCTAATGATTTTTGTAAAGAAAGCAAAAATCCTCAACACTGGACCAATAAACAACATCCATATCAATGGAGAAAAGATTAAAAGACTTCATTTTTCTCGGATCAACACTCATGGAAGTAGCAGTCAAGAAATCAAACGATGTATTGCATTAAGCAAATGTGCTGCACAAGACCTTTTTAAAGTGTTGAAGAGCAAAGATGTCAGTTTGAGGACTAAGGAGCACCTGACCCAAGCCATCATATTTTCAATAACTTCATATGCATGTGAAAGTTGGACAGTGAATAAGGAAGACCATAGAAGAATTGATGCATTTGAGTTGTGGTGTTGGAGGAGAATATTAGAAGTACCCTGGACTACCAAAAGAACAAACCAATCTGTGTTGGAAGAAGTATAGTCAGTGTGCTCCTTGGAAGCCAGGATTGCCAAATTTTGTCTCTTATACTTCAGACATATTATCAGGAAGTCACTGGAGAAGATTATCATGTTTGGTTAAATGGAGGGTCGTAGAGAAAGAAGACCTCCAACAAGATGGATTGGCACAGTGATGGCAGGGACGGTCTCAGGCGTAACAACGATTGTGATATTAGCCCAGGACTGGTCAGTGTTTCCTTCTGTTCTACTTAGGGTTGCTGTGAGTTGGTGCTGACTTGATGGCACCTAACAACAAAAACAATGATCTTTAAGGACTCTTGGTGTGATTGCATTGGACTGCAAACCACAAGGTCAGCAGTTCAAACCCACCAGCTGCTTTTCATAAACCCTCTATAGGGTCACTATGAGTCAGAACCGACTCAAAGGCAGTTAACAACAATGATCTTGACAGGGAGAATTCTGCATTGCAGTTGGATTATATGCATTTAATGTACATTTCTGATGGAAGGTTGATAGAGAATTGTTTATGTGTAATTCTTATTACAAATAGTCTCTGTCAGACACACCTCTCTTCTTCCTTTTAAGAGTCTCCTAAATTAATCTCTTCACTTCATGTTCATTTTACCATTTAATTCTTTTTGTTTCTTAAAGTGTGGTTTGGATGAAAGTTCACAAAGTGGATTAGTATTCCATTCAACACTTTGTAGACATTGTGTTTCCTGACATTAGTTGCAATGCCCTGATTGTAACAGCAGTCTTCCTACTTCCTCCCTAAACTCCGCATTTCCACTGGCCCTTCTTGCCTGCCTCTTCCTTCCTTTGAGCTTTGGTTCTGAGCACATGCTGCTCTTTTGATTTCATAAGGTTGAGTTTTGTGAAGATTACATTCCTCACATTTTTGTTCTCTTCATAGGTTGGTTTGTTGTTTGGCTGAAAAGGTGATCCCCAGGGGTGGGTTCAGTGCCAGGTTTGAAAGGTGTTTAGGGCCATAAGACTCAGGGATTCCTATGGTCTCTTTCAGACTCACTGTTTTGCTCTGCAGATTATTGGCCAGATTAATATTCCTAAAGCAGGCTTTCTTCCTGTCATTCCCTTCTCAAATCTCATTTGTTTACCCACTTAAATTCAACAGTTTGGGTACAGTTTGACCCATGCTGCTGAGTTCTGCTCTTACATTTTGAATATCTTCCTTCTCTGTTGTTGTTGTTAAGTGGTAGTATTTAAATGTAACCTTTTCCTTGAGACTTTTCATAATTCTTCATTGGATTTCACTTCTCAACCTTCTCTCCTCCCAGATCTTTATGATGTGATTCTTTTTCAGTTCAGATAAACACATATCGATTGCATTCCTACTACGTACTGGGCCCAATGCTAGATACTGGATGGGTTCTTAACACTGATCCACACCTCGGTTTCAGCATAGGTTATTTTGGCCTAATGATGTCTACGTCAAGCATAGTGTGGGGAAAGAGACATGTTTCTTGTCGTCTTAGAGCTATAGCATTTTATAATTCAATATTCTGCCTTAAGGGTAGAGACCATATGTAATATATCGCTTAGCATCTTCAAAGTTGCTTTACTTAATTATATGAATGCTCAATTGTTTGTCTATATTAATAATTACTATAAAGGAAACAAGGAGGCCTTATGATGTATGGTGATAAACATTGGGCTATTAACTGCAAAGTTGGCGGTTCAAACTCAGCTGCAGCTCTCTGGAATAAATATGCCTCAGTGTACTCTCACCTGAGGGTCATGATGAGTTGGAATCGAGTTAGTGGCAGTGAGTGGGTACTAGAAAGCTAAGAATGTATGTTTTACTAACATTTGTGACTCTTGCCATTAATTTGCAGGCTTGTTGGGGCCATGTTGAAGATGTTGAGCTCATTAATGATGGCTCTGGATTAGGCTTTGGAATAGTTGGAGGAAAATCAAGTGGCGTGGTTGTGAGGACTATAGTTCCTGGAGGATTAGCAGATCGAGTAAGTTGACCTTTTCTCTGATCATTTTTGTTTGATAAAATATAATTATATGACTTGATATATAATTTTACAATATGACTAGAGAATGCATGCTTCAATAACTAGGATATAAGTGTAGCTTAAAAATGGACCCGACTCAATGGCACTTAACAACAACAACAAAAATGGTTTATTTCACAAGTGTGAATATGCATTGTGCTTTGTTTACAACAGTTCCTAAATCAGCATTAAAACCATTTTTATCTTTAATGGACAGAGTTTCCAATTCCATCAGAAGATAATATTTTTAATTGAAAAGAATAATTAGTGTGCATTATGGTTTTGTTTTGATTTTTTCAAGTTTCAGATATTTATTATTCAGTGTAAATCCCAATACCATACATCAACATGATTCCATGCATTTAGGGAAGAAAGATATCCTGGTTAAGTGGGAAATTGTGCGGGTGGCTTTTGGAAGCCCTTCATTCTAAGCAGCTTTAAGGGAAAACATTTCATTTAGAAGTCAGGGCCTTCTTTCTTCAATTTGCTGTAATCCACATTCACTGAGTATTGTATTGCTCATTGGGGCCCAGTTTGTTCCATGGTTCTGGGTTATTCTTTCTGTCCCAGTTGATATCTGGATTAGACAATGCCAGACGCATGACATACAGCTTCAGTAAATATGAAGAGAGGTATCAAGCTCAGGTGTTTCTTGGCCTGACTGAGGATCTGGCAAAGCATGTTTGTGGAGAAGGCCTCGGGTCCCGAAGGAGAAAACAAAGCTGGCAGGTCCAAAACCTAGAACTCTCTGCTCCTTGTATGTGAGGGCATCCCACATTATGTTTTGAGTATCTGTATAATTCTCCACTAGTGTATCTTTCAGGAGCCCTGGTGTGGCGCTACAGGTAAGCACTGGACTGCTAATTACAAGGTTGGTGGTTCAAACCCACCAAGTTGCTCCTTGGAAACCCTGTACAGACAGGATTGCTGTGAGTCGGAACTGACTTGATGGAACAGCAACAATAAAGTGTATCTTTGAAGGAGTCCTGGTAGCATAGTAGGTTATGAATTGGACTGTTAACCACAAGATCAGCAGTTCAACTCTACCAGCTGCTCCTTAGGAGAAAGATGAGGTTCTCTCTTTCCATGAAAATTTACAGTCACGGAACCCTGTACATGCTCACTGTGAGTTGGAACCCACTCAGTGGTACATCACCCCCACCACACCAGTGCATATTTCAAAAGCCTAAAGAGAATTCTGAAAATACAGTAATTATTGATATTTGTTCTAATATTGTACATGATAAGTTTCACTTGCGTTAAAATCTTCAAGTTTTAAAAGTCCCATTTAGCAAAGTTTAAATGGATATTGGGTTCTGGGGCTCAACTTTCTGCCAAACAATAGACAGGCTTCTAAGATGAACAGTAACACCAGGGCGTTAAGTACCACTTAGAACTATCACCCTTTTGAGACCAAATTGCAATAGTTGCCCAGGGATAAAGCTCAGAAGAAGCTCAGGAAAAGGGGATAGAAAAAAAGGACCAATGAAAACAGTGAACATAAGCAGGAAGTGAGAAGATTGTTGTTGCATTGTGGGGACAATAATCAATGTGGAGTCCTGGTGTAATGCTGTAGGATAATCACTGGACTACAAGGTCTGTTTGAACTACAAGGTCAGTGCTTCAAACTCACCAGCCACTCCTCGGAAACCCTATATAGGGTTGCTGTAAGTCGGAACCAGATCAGCAACACTTAACAGCAACATTATAATGCCAGGAAACAAAATGTGTCAGAATTGTTGGATGGAAAACCAATTTGCTATACAAATTTTCACTCAAATCACAATAAAAAGTTTAAAGTAAAACTGAAAGTAGGAAATTAAAAAAAACGCATCAACTTTTTCTGTTTAATTTTATTTTGAGTAAAGTTAAGTACTACATGTTTAGAATTTTGACTATAAAGCCATGTAATATAAGCCAGTATTATATAGACTGTTTGTTTTGTTGCTATGTGCCATCGAATTGCTTCTGACACATAGAGACACCATATAGGATTTCTAAGGAGCATCTGGGGAGTTTGAACTGCTGATCTTGGGGTCCAGTGCTTTATCCCACAATGCCATACCAGGACTCCATTATATAGGGTTTTCTATAGTCTATCCATGATAGGTCAGACATAACTTTAGCTATTTCGTAATAAAAATAATATGTAAATATAATTGATAAATGTCCACTTATATATAAATTTATCTCTTGAAATAATCTTATAAATAAATAGCAATGATGTCCAGTTACACATAAATTTATCTCTTCAAATAACTGTGTAAATTAATAGAAATCGTCTTGTACAAATGCAGCTTGGAGGTAAATGTCTTAGCTTTTCATTTCGTTTCAACTCTACAAATAGTTGCCCTGAAGTGGATTCTTACTCATGGTGGGTGCCCCTGTGGAACTACTCTATTAGGGTTTCAAAGCTGTGATCTCTGGAAGCAGATCACCAGGTCTGTCTTCCAAGGGTCTTCTGGGTGGATTCAGTTCAGCAAACCTTTTGTCTCATAGTTGAGTGCTTGTCTGTTTGTGGTACTGTGGAACCACTAATATTCCTAGTGTTGTTTCAGTACCTAAGTATATTTATTTAGAAAGATGGTTCTCAAAGTGTGGTCTGCAGAACTCTGGGAGTCCGTGAGAGCTTTGTGGGGAGTCCCTGAGATCAAAGCAATTTTGTAATGAAACACAGATGTTATTATCCCTTTGTCTTCATTTGGACTGATGGTGCCAAAGCAGCGGTGGAGAAAATTGCTGGTGTATGGAACAGGGCCTCTCGTCGTTCTTGTCGTTGTTAAGTGCTTTCAAGTTGATGTCAACTCATAGCGACCCTATATAAGCTTTCTGAGGAGTAGCTGGTGGATTTGAACTGCCTACCTTGTGGTTCATAGTCCGGTGCTGAGTTACAGCGCCATACCAGGGCAGTGGTGCCAAACTACAAATAGTCGTTGTATTCTTCACCATGTGCTTGCACCAAAAAAGGTTGGAAAAAAAAAAGAAAAGCTAGTTTCATTTAAGAAGATAGTTTTTTAGATTAAGTAAAAATTATTAGGGTGCACTCTGACTCTATACCATAAGCGCTGGACTGGGAGCCATATGGTCAGCAGTTCGAATCAGCCAGCTGCTCCATGGCAGAAAGATGAGACTTCCTGCTCCTAGGAAGATTGAAAAGTTGGGGAATCCTGTACAGGATATGAGTCAGACTGATTCCATGGCATTACACAACAACAACAATAAAATGATTAATTCTAATTATATGTCTTTTCAATATTTTGTGACAAAATTGGGAGTATTATAAAGCACTTCTGCTATTAGTTGAAGTATGATGTCTTGAGGAAAAACACTTACAAAAGTGACTATTCATCTTTTTTTTATAGAGTAGCATTTTTATTTTTGAAAGGAAAACTGACAATGTATGATTATTTAGACTAGGACACATAGCAGACATTTTCTAGAAAATGAACAAAGTATATTTGTCACTTCAAGGAAAATAGCTGATAGCATTTGCTGGCACTGACAAAATTTGAGCTTTTAAGAATAAATTTGAATTTTGAAAAACTTGTATTTTACTATGAGATTGACAGCTTTCTAATATTTGAAGTTTTCTGATTAGATAATTGGTGATAATAACTAATATGCTTTTTATTGTAAAGGAATATGTCATTGTTTATATAATCTGGTAACTATGAGCAAGTATTTTCTGAAAACCAATATATAATATGAGAGGATAATCTATGGGTAAAATTCAGAACTCAGGATAGACCAGTGCATTTTAAGAAACAGTGTCTGAAAAGTTTGTTTCAGATTCTATATAGTAGCTTTCTTTAAGAAACCACCATTTAGTGAGTTTTGGTGGAATATGAAATAGAATAAACACAATTATCTGAAAGGGCTATTAAAATATCCTTCCTTTTTCCACTATATATCTGAAAGAAACCAGATTTTCTTTAAATATTTTAAGAACTTCTTATTTCTAATTGGTAGATACTGTTGTTGTTGTTAGTTGCCATAGAGTTGGTACCAACTCATAGTGACCCTGTGCACAACAGAATGAAATACTGCCTGGTCCTGAGCCAACCTCACAATTGTTGCCACGCTTGAGCCCATTGATGCTGCCACTTTGCCAGTCCATCTCACTGGGAGTCTTCCTTATTTTCTCTGACCCTCCATCTTACCGACCATGATATTCCTCTCCAATGACTGATCCCTCCTGACAATGTGTCTGAAATATGAGAGACAAAGTTTGGCCATCTTGGTCTCCAAGGAGCACTCTGGCTGCACTTCTTCCAACACAGATCTATTGTTTTTTTTTTGGCAGCCCATGGCACTTTCAATATTCTCCTCCAACACCGTAATTCAAATGCATCAATTTTTCTGTTGGTCTTCCTTATTCACTGTCCAGCTTTTGCATGCATATGAGGTTATTGAAAATACCATGGACCACCTGAGTCCGTAAGCTGACATTGGTAGATATTGATAAAGTCCAAATTAAAAAAAAAAAAAAAGCTCTTTGATATTCTCAGTAAATTTTTTCAACTGTATTGAGGTATAATTGGCATGCAATCAATTGTTGTTGTTAAGTGCCATCGAGTTGGTTCTGACCCATAGCGACCCTATACAGGGTTTCTGAGGCTGTAAATCTTTATGGGAGCAGAAAGCCTCATCTTTCTCCCGTGGAGCAGCTGGTAGTTTCGAACTGCTAACCCTGAGGTTTGCATTCCGATTCGTAACCACTGCGCTACCAGAGCTCCTTTACACATATTTAATGCTATTATTTGATAAATGTTAACATAGGTATACACTGTAAATCGTCTGTCATTGTAATCAAGGTAATGAACATATCCATCACTCTCAAAAGATACTTTGTGCCTTCTTGTAATACCAACTCCATCATCCTCAGTAACTTTTTAAGTGTGTCAAGAATTCTATGACCGAACAGTTTGAAAACTACTGACTTATAGATTTGTGACAGATAT